TAATTAGTTCACGATTCATTTATTTTATTAAATATCGACCAAACATCGAGTTTGCGGTCCGTGAATGTAGTCGACTATTATAATATTTTATTGTAGACAAGGAAATACCATAATAGGTGACCATTTCCATTCACATATAAACGTTCAAAAATTTATAGATACTTTATACGAAATAAGATTTTTTTTATATAAAAAAGAAAAAAAAACATAATAAACACTGTCGATGTTATTTTATGATTTCGTTTTGTGATTTATTTCAGCGAGTATAATTTACATCGCGACGTCACATTCAAATATTGTACATTTTCACCGACATGCTATTGTCGTCTATTTCAATTTCAAACTATTGATAAATGCCAATGATCTTCATTTACTTTGCGCTTTGTGCATGGTATACACGTCGCAACATTTGTATAGTGGATGACATAACGCTGACACAATGTCCACTGGAAAATCTAAACGCTTAAATCCGACTGAGTTTTTAGTTATTGGGTCAGTTTATTCGATTTCATTGCTCTTATACTGCTTTTGGATTTATGTATGGTAATAATAAAATTGCATGTACGATTGATTTTTGATTTTAATATATCAACGATCGCAATATTTTTTATCCACGCAAATTCTTCACGAAAGTGTAGACAGGAATTGCTGTTGTTTTCTATATTCACCAGAAATGTGGTGAAACTATATCCTTAAGGTAATATGCAACACTTAACCATCTATTATAGTTGGATATGAAAGTTTTCAAGCGTTTTATGCCATTAACAACGTTCAGTTATTCAAACGAGAATATATATTAGCTGCGGTACGAGCACGTAACAGCTTAAGCTGTTTTAAAAATTAGTAGGCTCATTCCTAGGAGTCACGGCCTCACGAAAACTTACGTGAACTGAAACTATTGTACTGTCTCGTATCATCTGCCGAGTTAGGTACGAGTAGCTCATACCAATTCTTTAAGTGTTGGAAACGTATCTGCAACTCCTAAAGTGGGTTTATAGGCAGCAGTAATCACCTCGCATCAGGTGAACCATCTGTGCCCGCTTGTAAAATTTCCATATAAAAAATTTGCGTATTAAATTCATTATTTTAATTTTGTCAACATTTTAACTAAAAGATTTTCCTAGTATCTGAAATGTTACACGCTGATAATACCGTTTGAAATGTCAATTATCCTTAATTAGGAAGACAAAACGTTAATAGATTGAGCCTAGAAGGTGAACAACAGCCAACGATATTAATTGTTTTCAGTGATTCCCTTTTAACTTGATAATTCCCTTTAATACATTTATAATAAAGTTAATGCTCCATTCTGAGTTCCCTACCTACGATTTTGGCGGAGCTCCAAAGTCGTACGTTAAGTAAATTAAACTTTGCAAATCTATATCCAGGGGGTACAATTAACTGAAACAAATGTTTGTAAATATTCATCAAAATAACTACTACCATAATAAATGTTTGCTACTTATGTTTTTCTATAAAGATTGGTAATAAAGTCAGTGTAGAGAACTTTTGATGGATAACCAATAATAAAAGTTTACAATCAAACGTCCCACATGCCGTGTGCATGAAAAGTATATATGAAGATTAACATATAAATTGAACTTAAGATTTACGCGAGCGCACCTCTTTTTGATTACTGAACCATCGTCGGTTGGGTTTTGTCCTTTTGTTGATGAAATTCTCCACGTTCCCACTAACTCGAGTCTTAAATAAGCTCATCGGTCATACAACAAAGTCATATATGACTGGAAAAATATTTTAGAATGACTGTATAAACAGTTGCGTTTTTTTTTTGTTCCATAAAAAATTTTATTCGCATTCAGAACTAGCGGAAAAAGTGATTGGCGACTGCTCGATTTTTCAGTAGCGTTCAAATATAAAAAGAAATCCGGTAAGAAAATTGAGTAGTAAAGTATTTTTCATTCCTGTTTCAATTTATAAGATATTTTTTTTCGATTTCATGGCAATGATACTTACCAGTTTTTATTGGTCACTTTCCTTATATTAAACATCAATTATGATTTAGTTTTTGACAGTGAAATTCGGGTATCGATTGAATACACAATAGTGTGGTTAACAAAATATTGATTATGGAATAATTGTAAAATTCAACTTAATTATCCAGCAGACAAGAATACGAACAAGTCATTAAAAACGCTAAAATTTCGAGACTGGATCCGACCCATCGAGTAACGGGCTACTAATTACGGAAACCTGATTTCACAAATTGGGATGTCGCTGTAACGACGCTCCCTCTTCATAAAAAGAAGGCAATTAAAAAAAGTACTTGCGTTTATAGAGACAACTACGTATCTCATATAGGTACTGCTACGTTATTGGCTACGGCGTAGCATACACATATGTTTATGCTACACTTATATATTATACATAGAAAGGTGTAATGATTGTTTTTAATGTAATCAAAATCCCTCATAGATTATTATTTCTTATTTATTGCCCTTAGAAACCATAAATTAACATTATATGATATTGTCCCTAGGCTAAGAGCCCTATCTTAATACTTAGATGCCAAGAGAATCATGAGCGGTAAAAAGTTATGTCTATTGTATGGGAGCCCCATTTAAATATTTTTTAAGTATTTGTTGTTTGTTATATGGGCAACAGAAATACATCATCTGTGAAATTTTCAACTGTTGAACTATCATGTTGTTGCTGGTGACAGATGGACAGAGAGACAGCGGAGTCTTAGTAATAGGGTCCCGATTTACTCTTTTAGTACGGAACCCTAAAAAAGTGAACAGTTCAAGAATTGAAACATGTAGAAAATCACGAAAAGATTGTCGCCGCTGTGGGAATCGAACCCACGCCTTCGGCATTCGCGGCCTGACGCTCTAGCCACTGAGGTAAACGGCTGCGCGAAGAAAATATTAACGCCTTCTTTCTACATTGTTATTTAGCATTTGAAGCAATGCTTGGCGCATCTATTATTATATCCATTCCAGCATACAAACAATTTTGCATATCGTCTTACAACGATAATTCGAACGAAAGATGTCGCCATTGCTTTTTAAAAAAATTTAAAGTTTTTTGTAGTGCTAATCTCTGCACTTAAGATTGAACATTAAAAGTCTTTTCGTACTTTTTCTACATGTTTTAATGTTCAATCTTAAGTGCAGAGATAAGCACTATAAAAAACTTTAAAGTTCAAGAATTGTGAATAAATCTACCTTCGTAGTGGAAAAAATTTCAAGTTTTCATTTAAGTTAAACTCTAAGCTTATCTCAATTAGTGCCATGTGTCGTATTGTGTGTGTGAATTCTAATTGGACAACCGCAGTCACGGTTGTGATATAAAGCCGTCCCATGTCCGCAGCCACGAACAAAGCAATCGCGGATTTGTGTTAGGCAGAATTATGAAACCATTTATTTTATGAACATAATTTAAAAAATTAGAGCCTGTAAGCTATTATTTTCATTGCCGAGTTTCATGTGTTCAATTTACACACGGGACAAGTCCTTTTGTGACTCACAAATAATTAATCCGGACCTGTGTCTTTATTCTTAAGGGTGTTTGTAGTCAGGCAGGCGACCAGTCGTGATAATAGGTTTATTATTATATATATTATTATTATATATATATATGCTTATACAATTAACAACAGGAAATACATGTTTTGCAGATCTCAACTAGGCGGGATACGGAAGATAGAAGAAAAAGGACTTTGCGAAGATATATGGATGTATATATAAACTTGAATAACGGTCTGTATGGTTGGAGTCAGTAACAGTAGAAAAGTGTATCATTTGGATCTCTGTGTAACTCATATTTTATTTATAAGATGAAAAATGTATTATTAATATTACAGACATTTTTCCCATCGTTATTGAACACTCTTTTTGTCAAAACTGTTGAGTGTTTAATTACCGTTCGTTGATTACTTAAAGTAACGAGAAATATTCACCAGCTCTTTGATTTGTCAATCAAAATAATTTTTGATTGAAAATTCTACTTCAGCGAATTTAAATGCTGATAAATATTTCACTCAATCTAAGTTTTAATAAATTTGTTACTTATACTTTTAAAGAATTGACGTCGCACTAATGGTCTATAAAAATTTTACACGTGCCATACTAATAAACGTACTTTATACAACTTTCATTGAAAATAACTTACTTAATCTTACACGTTATTTAAAATTTTAGTAATTTGGCAGTGATACATAGCAAATAATTAATAGTATTTAACATTTGTTTAAATTGCGCAACCAATATGAATAAAAAATACAGGCTACAATAAATGCTATTGTATTGCGTGTAGATGTTAATGTGTAAATGTTATTGTTTCATGTTTATAGGTATCGACTACCACCATAGTCATATTAATTCGTTAGTGAAGGACATGCTATTTTACTGTGTAAGCATTGTAGCACCTGTCAATTTTGGCTAACTATTACAACCGCACCCCAGGCAATGTCTTTACGTTGCCTACAAATACTAATATAAAAATAGAATTAAGGCAACGTACATGAATTCTTGTCGTTACCAGATAATGGTATAGACCCCTCCGTGCGCGAGTTCGACTCGCACTTGGCCGGTTTTTTCGATTTCCGCGAAGACTGGATCTTCTCTTCAACAGGGACTTTACTATGTCATTATCATACGGTTTTTAAGAAAAAAAAACTGTCGCGTTTGATAAATTGACTAACTTACTTATATTCATCATATTCGTCACATATTCACGGAGCATGTTTTGATTCAATCCACGCACTCTTGCATCAAAGAAGTGTCCTTTACCTTCCCCAAGTCTGAACTTCAAAAACCCGCTTTACGTTTACATAAAACGACTGCGCTTTACAAAATAAAGTATGCTCCTTATTGCTGTGAACATAAGCGTATTTTTTTTACAATCTACACTTCTAGAGTTGTTTCAGGCGTGCGTATCCCGCGCATGCGTCATAAAGCAAGCGGCCATTTTCAGGATAACGCCTACAACGCTAAGATCGACGCACACAAACGGAAATATATCAAGCCCCACGAAGGATGCTAGAGTGGTCTGCCCTGTACGTATGTACTTAGGCTTGTGTTAGTGGGATGCTGAGTAAGGGCTCGTCCATGTTGCAGTTGGAAATGTTGTTCGAATAAAAAATTGTGTTAGTGCAATTTCTTTAATTTAATACATAGTTTTGTATACATAAACGTTCAACGTTGTTCAGTAATAATGTAAAAGATATGTTTTTGTTACTCATAAGGGTATTAGGCGTACAAAAAATATTTTCCGAAAATAAATAAATGAAGTAAAAGTAAAATAATCATCTATGAATTTTTATCATAATTACTACTGGTAGAGGAATATTGAATATCTTTATTATTTCAATTATAATTTATAAAAAGACCCCAGGCTTAGACAGAGGAATAATAATGTATAAAATAAAAAAAAAAACGCTAATACCTGTTTGTTATAATTATTATTCATTTTTAAATAAATATATTTACTTAATAATATTCACAAATTTTCATTACTTTCTCCCAAATAAATCATACACATCGTAAAACATTCCACAGAAAGATTTATACAGTAATTGATCAGAAGATTATTCCACAGAAATAAAAAAAAACTTAAATAATATACTGTTTGTTATTTTTTGTCTTGTTATTTTCAAATTGACTTGTTTACAGAAACATACTTTTTATGTGAGAAAGTGGCAAACGAGCTGGCGGCTCACCTGATGTTAAGTGATAACCGCCCACCCATGGACATTTGCAACACCCGTAGGGTTGCATTTGCGTTGCCACCTCTTAATAAAGTGGGTCCTGGCCACCTCACTCACCAGACGAAACGCAGAAATGTAACACTTCAACTTTACGCCTTTTCTGTGAGGTCGCTGTTCTAACCCGGACAGACCTGCCCATTCGTGCAACAGTGAACACTTGCGTGGCTTTACCACCGTGAATAAACATACTTAATAACATTAACAAATTTTCATTACTTTTTCCCAAATAAACATCCTAAAACATTCCACAGAAAGATTTTCTTTTTCCACTCAACTTATTTATGGAATAGGACACAACGTGGTACAGCTATCAATAAATGATCAACGTACAAAATTACTGACGCACTCGCCCGAAAACCCGGTACATGTGAAACATTCATGGCAATTTATTATTCGAAATATTGCGCCTTGTGTACGCGGCCTAAGCTCTGACCTGACCTGGCTGTTGGGCGACACAGATTTAGTCAGGCTCGCGACTACACCGCCGGCGGTCGTAGCGCGCGGCGCGCGTGCATCCGTCCCTTTCCCGCAAACCGTTGCTAGTGTCGGTGCGAAGGGAACGCAGCCGGAAAAAAACGCTGGGTACGTAGCAATTAAGGGACCGCGACGCAGGGTTAAAGCTCCTTGGAGTGCCCATTAATTAATATTCCGCCGAGGTTACAGCTAGAGGTGGGAAGCTAACGGGTCGCTTTGAAGCTTTCGTAGAGATGAGTGAGGTTATGCTTAGGCGCCATCGGTCAGCTGATGTAGAGTTTAATATGACAGCACGTCAAGCATTCACAATTACTTAATGTGACTAAACGCTCGAATTTATTATAACGCTTTTAATTAGCTCTACTCGTATTGTACAACGTCTTTCTAGTTTATTACTTTTGCTTAAATAAAAAAAGCTTGGAATTAAGTTTAACAGTGACAGATACTTTAGACATTTTAGTCGGGTATTTTATTAATAAATTAAAAAAAAATAATATCATGACATCGTATCGAGTTACCTCGAGCTAAAATCTTTTTGGGATAGTTAATAACAGTGGTTATTAAAATAATTGTACTAATTTAGATTATTACTGTTCTTACCAGATATTTAATAATTCTGATATGGATTACAAATTATATTTATACTATAATTAACCCACGGTATACTTAAATCGTTGTTTGATGATAATGCGTTTTATTTTCCTTTAACATTTTCTCGCTTACATATTTTGGATTTCAACGTAATTCAGCCGATCATATTTGAGCCTTCAATCTTCTGTTGCCTTGTGGAAATTGTATCTTTAGAAGGAATAGGAAAGACGCCGGAAAATATAATTTACACTTGTTTCTGTAAAATGAATAAAGCATAAATCCTTATCTTAACAACATAATCTAAATGTAGTATGTTAAGTATGTTTGCCTTTTACTTTATTAGTAATAAAATTTCATCACACTACATTTACGTTTTTGTTATTGATTTTAAACAAAGACTTGAGGTGAAATCTAACCTTTTTATTTTAGTTATAATAAACGTGCTGGTATTAATTGTCTATGGCTTTCTTTCACGCGTGGTTGGTTAATTGGACGTTTAATGGTATTTAAAAAAATACATGGATAACCTTGATTTTCAATTAAATCCGTAAAATTAGTTTCATTTATAATGTGTAATCGCGTAAATACAAGAAATTATTATTTTTCAATATTGAATGAGAAAATTTTTACTTACTTGCTTACATCTTTGTCCATTTTCTAATCGATCTGGAACCATCGATACTCCGAGACTACCCTTTCAACGCATAAAACAACAAAAGCTTTTTTTATTTATCTCGTCAAAAGTTACACCCTGAATATGGACTTATGAGATGTAGTCAATAACGTCAGATCAGATGAAAATACTTTGGAAATTTGCAACGAATTATTTTTGTCATTGCCTGTCAAATACGTTTATCTTTCACCTCTGTCCCTAATGTGTAAATAATTCCGTTTGATAATATAAATAATTTTCTTCTGATTTTGGTGTTTTTTCTCTAGATTTATCTTAATATATATGAGGTAATTACATTTTTAAACCGTCTTAAATTCAATTAAAGAGATTTGATTTAAAATCTAAATTTTCTGCGCTTTATCTATCTATATCCATTCCTTTAACCATGCTTTTTCTATGATAACTTTGTGAGTTAGTTCATTTGCATGAAAATGGCGCTTACAGTTCTTCTGGATATAATATAGCTTCAAACATTCCTAAATCGTTAAAGAGTTACTTCAAGGAGAAAGTTCAGGGCTTTTTTCTTAAACGAGACCCTATGGATTAAACTTTTTACTTATACCAGCGTGTTGTGGAAGTTACTATTTCCGCGTTTCGTCTAGTGAGAGGGATAACCGGGGTACACTCTTTTAAAATTTAAAGTATCTGTAACTCAGCGGGTGTAGCAGATATCCGACGGTCGACGGTTATCACTTAATATCGACTTAATCGCCACCCTGCCTTGCCTCCTAAAAAAATCATGACCGCGAATTGTCTTGAAAGAATTAGCGATGACGTCACATTATCCCAACCTAAAGATCATTTGGCCTGAGGAGAAACTGGTTGAGTCGATTTCTATCCACTTCTTTGGAACACCTAGTGTGAATTATTTAACCGTATTTCTCAATAATAATATTATAGCTATTGCCATATTTTTTTATGCATCAAAAATTATTTCTGTACTAGGAAAAAATACTTCTACTATAAAGCATTGGCACCAGTTGTGTTTTCTTCGGGGGTCCTCAGCTTTGTTATCTTCCAGTACACTTACCTACGAGCATGAACTTGCTGAGGAATTACGTACTAACTACCCAATGGCCACGAGTTTTCTAATCGAAACTTCACAGTTGTTGTCGTCGTGCATGATCTGTCGCTTAACTATTGAACTCGTCTTAAAGGCTGTGCTTTATGCTCTAAGAGACGCAGCATCTCTTCGCATTTTATATCACATTCACCACGGGCTGAGCATAGAGCATTTGTTCGGATAAATTCCAGTTGCTGAGTCAGAGTAAATAAAAAAAACATTAAATATCCATATACTTGCCACTTGAGGGTTGGCACTCCTCAACTTTGTGCTTATCTCGAAATTTCTCGCCACGCACAACAAATTTCACTATTAAGGTTTTGGTGGACCGATATAATTTAGGAATTTTCATAAGGAAAGCCTATTCTTACCTTAAATGAAATGTAATTTTTACTCCTCTGGTGTATCCAATGTCAACAGAGGTCCTGATTACTTACCATCACGTAACCCGCTTGCTCGTTTGCCTCCTTTGCCACGAAAAAAAGCAAATATACTCTTTTACAGAATAGAAGGCAATCTTAAAGATTAAACAGGAATGTTTAAACACGATTGAATTAAAATAATTGACGGTGGCTCTGACGTAAAACAACGGACTCGTGTGAATTGTCCGAAACTCCGGTGTTAAGTATATATTATATAAAACATATATAATACATTCATGATATCTTTTCAACAATTCTCTTCTCAAGTTTTTGGCATTAAAGTGGGTTTGGATGTTTTTGCTTTAAGCGAATGGAAGTTTATTGTTCTGTCCTTTTCTTTAAAAATTAAGTTTCTGACGTAGTTTCAGCGATCAATAGAAACTTGTACAGATATTTTCAATAGAAATATTTTCCATTCAGCAAAACAATTTATCAATTTCCGTAGTAAGCACGTTAAAAAAGTTGTTTTTACTAAATTTTATTAGCTCGATTAATATTTTAACAACTCGATTTCATTAATCGTGTAAAAATCGCTAATAATCTAAATGATAATCCGAATGCTCAAGTTTGCGCGTTAACCGCTAAAAAGTCCCCATTTGTCGTGACTCCTCATTTCGAGAACACTCCCCTACCTGCCACAGCTAGTATCGGAATGCTTGGCGTCGAAATCTCGAGCAACGTCCAGTTCCGCGGTCAATTGGAAGGTAAGGCCAAATTGGCCTCAAAGAAGCTTGGCATGCTCAGCAAGGCGAGACGGTACTTCACGGCTGTATAAGGCGCAAATTCGGCCCCACATGGAGTACTGTTCTCACCTCTGGGCGGGAGCCCCCTATTACCAGCTTCTTCCATTTGACCGCATTCAACGCGGCGGCTAGGGTTATCGACGATCAAAGTCTTTCCGATCAGCTTGATCCTCTGGCTCTGCGTAGAGATGTTGGATCACTCTGCATCTTCTACCGCATTTATCACGGGGAGTGTTCTGAGGAATTGTTTGGATTGATCCCGGCGGCTGAATTCCACCATCGGACATCGCGCCAGAACCAAAAATTTCATCCACAAAAACGTTCCACAACAGCGCGATTTTTAAGGCATTTCTTGCCTCGCACAACCACTCTGTGGAACCAACTGCCGCCGGCGGTCTTTCCGAACCGTTACGACCTGGGGAACCTTCAAAAAGAGAGCGTACTCTTTCTTAAAAGGCCGGCAACGCATTTGTCAGCCCTCGGGTGTTGCAGGTGTCCATGGGCGGTGGTCCACTTACCATCAGGTGAGCCTCCTGCTCGTTTGCCCCTTTTCTCCATAAAAATAAAAAAAAAATAAAAAAAAAAAAAAAAAGAATGCTAGAAATTAAACTACTAGAGATAAATAAGGATCAAAGGGAAAGCTTTTGGCATTAAATTAGTGCTCAGAACGCAACAATGGAGAGGAGTACTGTTTGAGAGTCATTATGTTATTTAGATATATGAGGGTTTCATCCGAAGTAATAGGGTGTCTTAACATAATTAGATTTGTCAATGTTTTCCAAATAGCTTCCCTTTATTGCGATTCGTTAGGGTGCTGCATAATTGATTCATAGAGCTTGCGTAACGGCGCTTTGAATTCTACATGGATTAAGCGAATACAAACCCTATGTGTATACATCGACGTCGCATTTTGATATAACCAGCGCTGCTATGATGAAAAAAAGTTTTCAGACAGACTAGACTTTTAAAGGTAATTTTGTCGCTGGGTTCAAGCGTTGGAAATGAATGGCGCTGTTCAGAGCTGATTCATTTAAACACGCCCTTTGGTGAAATAATTGCGGCTGCCTCGAATAATCAAGGAGGTTATTTGAGTGAATTAAAGTATTACGGCGCAGTCGAGACGAATTCGATTTTTAACGGTTTTTTTTTTACGAACAATTCATTCGAATTGGTGTATTTCTGTCCCACTTTTCGGATCTTTTTTTTATATTTCGATAAAAAAAATTCTACTAAAATGTTCAGTTTTAAGTGTTCTATTTATCAATACGATCCTCGCTATTTATCGTCGGATATGATTATAATGATTTTGTGTACGAAATTATGTAAACTAATGTTGAAATTAGACAATCGAATAAAATGTACAAATGTATCTTCTCAAATAAGTATACTTTTATATTATATTCTAGTATTTAAATTCCGATTAAAAATAGACTTATTAATAATAATTGTTAAGAATAGACACCACACTCCTTGAACTTAATTAAACAGTCAACGAGCAGAAAACACTTTATTTTTTTTTCGCTGTTTTCTAATAGCGCTTTTGAAAGCTTTTAGTCTTGTTTCGTAAATACGACGCAAAGGGGTATTTCTTGGAATTTAATCGCCTCCTTTCATTA